TATATTCGATATTAAATATTGAATATTAAATATTAGGATTTAATCCAATTTAAAATTATGTATATATATATATATATATATATATATATATATATATATATATATATATATATAATGTAATTACATTCATTCATCACTAGGTAATAATCGATGAATCAATTATAACATATTAATTGATATAAGTCGAGACGTTTTGTTTTTAATATATATACATGCATCTGAGTAGGTTATAAGTCGATGAATCAATTTACAAGTGTATCAATACCTAAAAGAACCCGACCCTGTGTTCCGAGCGCTTCATGTTCTTATATAATATACATAGACACACACACACGCTTCGTTGTACTACTTTAACTACATATATAGCATGTTAGAGTATATTTTAGTGTATTCATCCCTTGTATTACAAAAGTGTTAACGGATTTCATTTATATTATTTAAATAGTAAATACAAAAGTGATTTTTAATTTTGACCAATGTTGACCTGAAAAGAGACCAAGTTTGGTCGCTAATTATCCAGAATTAAAATTTAGCGACCAAAGTTGGTCGCTAATTATCCAGAAATTCAAATTTGCGACCAAAGTTGGTCGCTAAATTTAAATCAGATTTATTTATATTTTATATAATATTTAAAATAATAATATAATTGTTAAACGTTAGAACTGGGTCCCAGATTAGCGACCAAAGTTGGTCTCTATCTGTTTCCCCTTTCGTAAGTGACCAACTTTGGTCGCTAACTTTGAATTATATTTATTTATGTTATATAATTTTTTTAAATAATAATATAATTATTAAAATTTTATAATTGGGTCCCATATTAGCAACCAAAGTTGGTTTCTATCTGCTTCCCCTTTCGTGAGCAACCAACTTTGGTCCCTAATTTTGAATTATATTTATTTATATTTTATAATTTTTTTAAATAATAATATAATTATTAAAATTTTATAAGTGGGTCCCCCTTTAGCGATCAATGTTGGTCGCTAATTTCTGTATTTCTTTGACCAAGAAAGTCTGACCAGTCCGGTCAACATTTTGACAAAATTATCGACCAAAAAGCGACCAAGCTTGGTCGCTAATGTATTTAGAATAATTATTTAATTATTTTCTCCAATTTAGCGATCAACTTTGGTCGCTTTTCTTGACAGACCAATGTTGGTCGCAAAATTTTGGTCGCTTTTTTCCGGAATTCTAGTAGTGTTATGAATTACGAGATATAAGCTTCCAAATTCGGCTCCACGCATCAGAAATTTCTGGCGAAACTGCTTTACCAGCCTTCATTCAATCAATCATAACTTTCTGTACAAATATCCAAAATGATGAATGATTTAACTTCATGGAAACTAGAATCAACGAAATACAACTTTCATGTTTTGATAATTTGCAGATTCCTTATAGATTGCAAGATATAAGCTTCTAAAGTTGGCTCCACGCACCAGAAATTTCTGGCGAACAGCTCTGCAACAGAAATTTCCAGCAACCCTCTTTGTCCGGAATCCATTCCGTTTACCTTCCGAAATCCACGCGAGGCCCTCGAGACCTTAACCAATTATACCAACATGTCCCAAAATACAATACTACCTTAGTCGAGGCTTCAAACCACGTCAAACAACTCCGAAATTACGAATCACACATCGAATCGAATTATGAGTTTTCAAATCTTCCAACTTCTATATTTTGCCAAAACGTATCAAATCAATCCGGAATGACTTCAATTTTTGCAAACGAGTCATAAATGACATAATGGAGCTGTTCCAAATTTTAAAATCGGATTTCGACCCCGATATCAAAAAGTCAACCCTCGGTCAAACATCCCAAAAATCTTCTACTTTCCAACTTTCGCCTAAATGCGCCTAATTGTCCTACGGACTTGCAAATCCAAATGCGAATATGCGCTTAAGTCCGAAATCACCATACGAAGCTATTGGAATCATCAAAATTCTATTCCGGAGTCGTTTGCTCAAAAGTCAAATCTCTGGTCAAACTTTAGAAATCTTTAGCCTTAGATTTCTAGATTCCGTTAAATGGCGATAATTTGAGCTAGAGACCTCCGAATTCGATTTCGGGTATATGCTCAAGTTCCAAATCACGATACAGACCTACCGGAACAGTTAAAATGTTGATCCAGGTCCGTTTGCTCAAAATATTGACCGAAGTCAACTCAGTTGAGTTTTAAAGCTCTATTTCACATTTTAATCTATTTTTCATATAAAAACATTCCAGAAAAATTTAAGGACTGCGCACGCAAGTCATAATATATATTACGAAGTTGCTCGGTACCTTAAGTCGCTGAACGGGGCGTTAATTCTCAAAAAGACAAGTTAGATCGTTACATATACCCTTGTATTATTAGAAAATGTTTAAATATACCCCGCGTTATACTTTGAAATTTGAATCCACATATACCTCTGTCGTTATGCTGTCATTATACTATTGGTTCAAATATACCCCTTTTTTGTTAAGTTTGTCCAAAGTGGATATCTAATCCTACGTGGCAATGACATTTGATGAGGTGGATAACCACATGACTTGCCATCTCAGCGCCCCTAACCCATTTTTTCCGTCCCTTCTATTTTTTTTCCACCACTAAAATTTTTTTCCTCTCCACCACTATTGCCACCATTATCATTACCATGAAAAATATTATATTTCAAATTTTAGTCTTTTATATTGGATTAGAGGCACTGACGGTGGCATGCTATTTGTCATCCACCTCATCAAATGTCTGTGTCACGTAGGATTGGATGTCCATCATGGACAAACTTAACAATAAAAGGGTATATCTAAGCCAATAGTATTACGACAATGATATATTTAAACTCAAAGTATAACGAACATTTTCTCGTAGTACATGGAATTATATTTGGCCCTTTTGCCGAATATTTTAAGATTCCTTCATTACAATGGTAACATCACTAGTGTTTTATTTGGATAAATTCTTGAAATCACAGATACATTGTATTTTTCTGTCCCTTTTTCAGTAATAAGGTATGCATATTTGGTCAGTCTTTCCACCTGTTTCCTGCTAGAAACAATCCAAGAAGGCAAATCCTCACTTGGTGGGAGTGAAAACAGTTCATTTTTCAATTTAATAGAGTATATTAGTGCCAGCATGATAGAGACTTTGATGGGGTTCTCCACGACAAACTAAGCATTTCTAGAACAACTAAATTTTGTGGTCCTGAATCTAGGGTTTCAAAACCAAACTTATTGATGCCAATTTAGGTGCCTTTTATATATACCTTTTATTTTAGGATTTAGCTCATATATATGTAAAATTTCTATTATATTACTAGGTCATACAAAAAAAGTTAAGGAGTAACATTTATGAAAAAATGAGATTTGTAATATGAAATAAGACAGATTACCCGCTACAACATTTAAAGATAATATTTATTTTACACGGTAGATGAATATACATTAAACTCTTTATTTTATATTAGTTTTAACTTTTATACATCGACAATGAAAAATTAACTGCAAGTAATTGCCCATAACAAGTACTAATTATCTGAAAATGAGAGAAGCAACCTGCTATATATAACAAGTTAAATTACATGAATTATATAATATCTGTTTCTACACTATAAGAATGTATAAGCAATATTTATTTTATCCGTTGAGATAATACATAGATGGGAATACTTTCTAAATAAAATTTTGCCTCTTTTAGAGTAGTAGTTCTCTTCTTCAACTCTAGTTATATACAGTATATTGTTTGCAATGAAGTAAAATTCAGAAGAACCCTAAATCAAGAACCATGACCAACTGCAGAGGCGGATGAAGCCTATGTTCAATGAATTTAACTGAACCTAATATTTTTGATACAGAGTGTAACAACTAATAATAGATATATAGGTAAAAAATTGCTGAACTTTCAACAAACATAAAAATTCCAAACCGATAATTTGAAATGAAAATTACAATGATTTTTCAGTACTAACAAATTAAACCGATCAAGTTTAAATCTTGAATTCTTTTCTGACTAAATGGTCATATGTGACAGAAAGATTTATGAATAAGAAAACTTGTCCAAATAGTAAGCAAAGATTCTCTTCAACTTAATTACATGATATATAGAAGATAAAGAAGAAGATGGAAATGCAAATTTACTCATCAAAACACAACAAGAACATTAAATATGAGCCTTAAGAATTGAGAAACTCCTGATAGAAAACGCTTTCCCCTTTATGGTTCTTTTCATTTTCGCACCTGACCCTGTAGTCGGTAGGTCAAATCCCTCTGCCCAAGTGATTGAGTTGAACCTTCGGGCATAGAGCGGAGGGAACCCGGGGAGAGGAGTAGAGTCCAACTTCTCTTTCCCTTTCTTCAATAATATTGTTTCCACCAACGTTATTTTGGTTAACTCTTTCACCTTCTAACTCTCTATGCTTGTGCAAATACCTCTTTAATGGCTCAACATAATCATCAAATCCCAAACTTCCTAAAGCCCAACAAATATCATCTCCATTCACAGTCTTTCTCTTCTCATTATGACACTTATCTGAGGCTTCTCCAGTAACAAAACTAATGAATTCAGAAACACATTCTTGCATTGTTTCTTTAGCTTCTTTTGAAATCTTGGCATTTGGTGGTAGAATTTGCTTCATAATTCTCCCAACATTAGCTATTGGAAGTAATCTTTCTTGCTTCTTAATCACTGCATCTTGATCACTTGAGGAACCACTAATTGAATAATTGTAAGATTTATGACTTTCTCTATCATATTTAGACCCTAATATGTTGATATTATCAACCATCTTTTTCTTTCTATAAGGAGAAACCTATAATACATGTCTGTCTATAGTTTGTTTCTTTATAAGCAGATATTTGCATTTTATTATGTTTAATGAAGAGCTTAACTTTTATCTATATACTGACAGTATAAGGAATATTTTACGCTATCAGGTCAATATAAAAGATAATCATAGTTAACTAAGTTGATGATAATTGTGAAATACCTAAAAAATAAGGTATATATGTACCTATTAGAACATGTTAACATGCGATGCAGATTATGTAGTTATTTTTTATACTGTTAGTGTATATAAGTCAATTCCTTAAATATTATATCATCAAAGCCGTGCAAAAGTTAAAACTTGTGATGCATATCAAAGTCGTAATACAAAAGTTAAAACTTTATGATATAGTGTAATATTGCAAAAGATTCTGTGAAATATACAAATTAAATAGCATCTATACGAAACGTAATGGCAGGCAGATTCTCGCTGACGGTACTAAGTTAGGTAAAATTTTCCTTATGTATGTTATTCGAGATGCTAAAGATGGTTTTCTAGGTTTTATATGTATATAATATTGCTTTCAACAATTAGTGATTGTATGGTCCCCTCCCCCCTCCTAATTACTCTTTAAGTTGAAAGTGGAAATCCTAGAGTTTGATAACCTACTTTTAAGTAGGTTTTGACAGGAGAAAATTGTCACTTTGGTCTCCCAGAAAGAAGGGAGATAATAATATATAGGTTTAGCTAGCATCCACGTGTCTTGATTTGGCAGGCAAAGTTGAGTAAATTAATGAAAAATAGGACACTAATTATTGATGCAGATTTATTAATTAAGTTACAGACTTACAGGTAAGGATTGGAACTGTGCCTTCAAAATAATCGTGGCACTCAAGCGTTAGGAAAATGACTTTTTAAAAAAAAATAAAAAAATTGAGAAAATGACTTGTTGGATTATTTAGAATAAATTTTTTATACACACTCAATATTTATACTAGCTTACTAAATATATAACAAGTGTCTTTATATACATAATATAGTTAATATACTTTAATAATAGTAAACTAATTATAGATACACGCTTACCTCAACTTTATGATTTAATAATGTAAACTACTGTAGTTTGATGTAAATATTAAATGTGAGTAAAAATTTCTTTAAGCAAGAAAATATTCACTCACATTTTGATGTGCACAATAAAATTACATTTAGGATGATCGAGTAATAGATTGATGATTAGTCAACTTCAAAAGAATATCCACATGAGATATGACTCAGCTCACTCTCGAACTACTCCATTATAGTCCTGACAAATGACGTGTCGGTGAGTGTATTTTAATATTAAAATTATAATATTAAAGTGTATTATTAATTTATTGTGAGATAGTAGTTATAAATTAGCAAGAAAGTAGTAACTCATGAAATCACTAATGCCATGATCTACTACTAATTACTAACTAAAGATTAAATTTTGTAACTACCAACCATGTTCTACAAATTTATTATCTCACTACCTTATTATTTATCTTATGAAAGGGATTCTAAACCTATAAATAGTGGTGTTTCTTCTTTGTGTTTGGTGTGTAAAAGTATGTTAGTGTGTATGAAAAAAGTGAACTTGGTGTAGTGAGATAGAGAGTTAAGAGAAGGAGAAAATCTAAGTCTCCAACTTATTCTCTACAAAAGAGAACATTATTTTGTGGAAGGAAGGTATTCATTTTGGTGGAGCTTTGGACTCAACAACTCGTACAAAGTTTGTTCGAATCATACGACGTTGTCAGGGTGTTGTATCCTGGAGGGGACAAGTCAAGAGTATTACTGTTGGACTGGTGAAGATGCTACTGTAGTGGGCTTGAATTTTCTTAAAGAGAGCGAGATATTCGCGCCTCAGCCTGAAGAATTTTTATTTTATTTTCTTCATTTTATTTTTTAACTATAATTACTTGTAATTTCACCAACATGAACATGACGTATAATAGTTACTAATTCTTTCCATCAATTATTACAAAACAAAAAGTCATATTTAGAGACATAATTAAGTAAATAAAATATATTTTCTCTAATAATTTAATGTAACGACCCGACTGGTCGTTTTGAGCAATTTCGTCCGGTTCGGCAGTTTGAGGTTACGAGTAGCTTCATATTACGTGTATCGACTGGCGTGCGCAGTCCGGGCGTGAAACCGGAGAGCTTTTATGTGAAAATATGAAAAATATAGTAATTTCTAGAGTTAAAATTTAGTTTTTAGTTGACTTTGGTCAATATTTTTGGTAAACGGACCCAGATCTGTGTTTCGATGATCCGGGGAGGTCCGCAGTAAAATATGGGACTTGGGCGTATGCTTGGAATTGAATTTCGAGGTCCCTAGCCTTAGAAATAATTTTTGAAGAAAATTATTGTGCTGGTTTTTAAAGGAAATAAATAAATTAATTAATGTTTTAACTCATTGGTATCGGGCCCGTCTTTTGGTTCCGGAGCATGGTACAAGTTTGTTATGATATTTAAGTCCTATCTGTGAAATTTGGTGAGAATCGGAATTGATTTGACGTGATTTGGACGTCCGGTTGAAAGTTAGAAAATCATGAGTTTTGAGGTTAAATTCATAGTTTTTGATGTTGTTTTGATGATTTAATCGCACGAGCAAGTCCGTATGATATTTTTAGACTTGCGTGCATGTTTGGTTTGGAGCTCCGAGGGCTTGGGTGAGTTTCGGATAGGTTTAGGCTATGTTGCGCTTGTTTTTAGATGCTTCATCGTCGTTTCTTCAAGAAAAAATGATACCACATTGAGCAAATAAGATCCAAATTCAATTTTTATTGAACCATTAGATCCGTACCGAAATTACGGAGCCATAGGAAAAAGAATCATCGAATTTGGACATCGTATGAGGAAGTTATGCTCATTTTCGTGTCGGGAAAAATTGCTGGTTTCTGGTGTGGTCGCAAATGCGAACCTTTTCATCGCAAATGCGAACTTTTGGTCGCAAATGAGACTTCTGCCAGCCCTGCCTTGTTCGCAAATTGCGAACCCTGGGTCGCAAATGCGACATCTGAGGCCTGCTAAGTGAGATTTTTGACGAGATTTTCACCCATTTTTCAATTTTCTCAAACCCTAAACCTCCATAGGCGATTTTTCAAAGACCCAAACTTCTCCAAATTATTGGGTAAGTGTCTCTAATCAATTTCCAACTATATTTTGTGATTATATCTTAGATTTAACATCAAATTCATGAGAATCTAAAGGAAAATTGTGAAATCTTTTAAAAATGTAAAATGATGATTTGAATGACCAAATGGTATTGTAATTTGATAATTTTTGTATGGGTGAACTCGTAGCGGAGTAGGTATTCGGTTTTTGTAAATTTTGTCTGGTTCCGAGGTGCGGGCCCGGGGAGTTAAATTTTGTTGACTTTTTTGCAAATTGTATAAGAATCATAGTTTTGTCAATTAAAATTGTTTTCTCTTGCATTGTTTGATGTATTCAAGTCGTTTTTTGGCTAGATTGAGCCGAGCGTTGATGAATCGGTAAAGGAAAAGCTAAAATGAGTATTGAATTGGCCGGATTGAGGTAAGTATCTTGCCTAACCTTGTGTGGGGGACTTCCCCTTAGGGTTTGAGTCTTCTATGCTAATTATAGTCCGTGCACGCGAGGTGACGAGTGTGTGCTCGGACTTATTTGTGGGAAAATTTACCTCTAGGGTTTTTAGGTCCTTATGTTCATTATGTGCAAAGTATTCTGTCATGCTTGAGTTTCCTAATTGCTTAAATTACCTCGATATGCTCCATATGATGTTGCTAGCTTTCCTCTAATTCTTACGTGTTACTTGACCCCTAATTCCCTTAATTGAAGTGATTGCCTTCCTTATTGTTTTGATACTTCTTGATTGAGAGTTCCTCTATGACTTCGTGCAAATATGTTACATGTCCATTTGTTGTGGTTACCGGCGTAATTATCACGTGCTTATTATGTCTTGTTGCTTTGTTAAGGTTAGTGTGCTTCTTGGTTTTTTTTCGTGATCCTTATTATGTACTATTCATGCTTGACTTGATGAGTATTCATGTTGGACCAGGCTTATGGTAATTCCTTGGTATTTGACCGTTGTTGAGTATTGACTCAAGTTGGGATTCACTTTGAGAAGTTAATTGGTGGAACGAGATTGGTTGTTGTTGAATCCCTTGCCGGGATGTATTTGTTTCTATTGTTGATTCCTTTGCCGGGATGTTATTGTTTATGATATTATTTCCCTTTCCGGGATGTTATTGCTTATGATATTGTTTCCCTTGCTAGGATATTGTTGTTATACTATTGTTTCCTTGCCGGGATTCTTTTGTGATTGGTGTTGATTTGTATATTGGGATCGGGTTGCACGCCGCAACAATATTATATGGTATCGGGTTGCACGCCGCAATAATATTATATGGGATCGGGTTGCACGCCACAACAAGGAGTAATAAGGGTGGACAGGTGGGATCGGGTCGCATGCCACAACATCATTATATGATTTGGATCGGGTTGCACGCTACAACATCATTATATGATTTGGATCGGGTTGCACACCGCAACATCATTATATGATTTGGATCGGGTTGCACGCCGCAACATCATTATATGATTTGGATCGGGCTGCACGTCGCAACATCATTATATGATTTGGATCGGGTTGCACGCCGCAACAGTATTATATGATTGGGATCGGGTTGCACGCCGCAACAAGAAATAATAAAAGCGAATATTGATTGCATGGTGATGATTGAGAGTTAAAGCACGAAGGGTGATGTCGTGCACTTTCTGTTTGCTGTGTTTATTTGTTGTTATCAATTCAAGTATTTTAACTGTGTAGATTCCTTTATTGCTGTGATCCTTTGTGTTGGAATTCATAGTGTTTCCAATACTTCGCCGTATTTATATATACATATTTCAATACTTCAAATTTCAAAATTTGTCACATTTTTAATTCAGTTGGTTACTCAATTAAATTCCCTTAAACCGTCTGAAGTTGTAATTTACATAAAAAGGAATTTCTACTAAGTTAATTTATTAAATCCCATGTTAAAGGTAATAATTC